ACAGGATGAGAAAGAATGGCTTCCCAGTGCCAGAGGACAGGGTTAGATGGCATATTGGGAAGGAATTGCTGTCTGTGAGGGTGGTGAGGCCCTGACCCAGGTTTCCCAGAGAAGCTGTGGAAGTGTCGAAGTCCAGGTTGGATGTGGCTTGGAGCAACCTGGTCTAATGGAAAGTGTCCCTGCCCATGGCAGGGGGTTGGAACATGATGGTCTCGAAAAGTCCCTTTAAACCCAGACCATCCTGTCATTCTGTGAAAATGAGGAGACTTTTCTTAGTTCAGGGTAGCGTGGTGAGTGTTGTGTGAGGGCTGATGTTTGATGGGGAAGCCAGACACAGGGATCATAGAGGAATGAGGAAGAGGAGGCAGTGAGGTGGTGAGTAGTTTAGGAAGAGCATGGTAAGATGCTTGGAATCAAAACTGTCCTTTCAAAAATAAATATATAAGTACATATATTAGAAAAAACACTCTTATGTAGTTTTAAACAACCCTACAGTTGGATAATTTTATTTGCCTATAATCCTAAATATCATTGATAAAGATCCAGTTACAGGCATTTAAAAACCTCATCAGGAACACCATTTTATTCCCATTTTCAGCAGTGAATTGTTATTATTGCAGATACTGGTGACGATTTCGACAGCTCTTGATGTGATCTGCTGGGAGCGGTCCCGGCGGGTGAGATAGCTCAGTGTGTGCTAAACTTGCTGTTTTCTTTCAAAGTCAGTTGATTACAGGAAAACCTTTAGCTATGTCAAAACAAAACAAAACACAAACAAAAGATCCCCAGCCCACCTTCCCTCTGTGTCCATGAACGTGGCCCTGGTGCAAGGCTGAGATCTGAAAGCTGGACGGGAGCAACGTTATTTTAGTTTATTGCTATTATTTTTTAAATTCATTTTTGCTGAAATGCTTTGGTTCTTTGTGAATTAAAAAAAAACCAAAAAACAACAAAAAACCAAAACCAACAAAAAAACCGCACACACTTTTTCTTCCCAAATGCCTAATAAAACTACTGGAGCTCGGAAAGAAAAAGTACGGATGACATGGTTTCATCATCTTAAAAGTGTTCATGTGATGGGCAGAAAAGCCACACCAGAAATTTCCTACCACTTGCAAGTGGTGGGACATGTGAGTCCTCCTGCCACAGCTTGGAAGAACCAAGTGTGGGGCCTTTCTGTTACACTTGGGTGTTTCCATGGTGTGAATCTCCCATACTCACTGTCCTCTGGACCTCATTTGTTTCAGCAGCTGTTAATGTTTTGGGGTTATTGGTTTGGTCTTCCATCCTCCAGGATTTCTGTATGGATAAAGCATTTTCAGCAGCATCCCTGCCTGGAGTAGGATGATACCCTGAGCCCACAGATGGCATGTGCACCCCCCAGTGTAGAGGCATCCTGACTGTGGTCTTTTATTGGGCGATTTTGGGCAGGATTTGGCGTTCCTGAGAGTCAAGGCAAGTGGTGGGGAACCTCACAGCCTGCTGTGCTGATTGGTGTGTTGGGAAGCAGCGGGGATGATGCTTTTGTGAAGGACAAGGGTTGTGTTGGCAAAGTCAGGGCAGCCCCTCAAGAAAATTCAGGAAGGTGTAAAAAATACGGAAAGAAAAGAGTTTTCCAGTGGGAGTGGAATACGGTATAATATGGTTGTTCTGGGGCATCATTGGTGTCACCCTAAGGACTTTGGGGTATCAAGTTACTGCCTTGATTTCCCCCCTCTGTGAGGAACTGTTGCGGGTGGTTGTTCTCCGTCAACCCGACTACGAGCTGATCAATACAACTAATTCCCTAAATTCCTGAGGGCAGAGTCACTTTATTTTCAGTTATTTCTATACTATTATTTTTGCACAATGAACTTGCACAATGCTCCAGGGAGAGGGGGTGAGTCTGGGGGGGAACCATGGAAAATCCTAATAAACCCAGTGATAGCAGCAAACGGAGGGGGTGCTTAATAACGAAATAATAGCGCGGATGTTTATAGCATTAAACATTATCATTGTTTGCTGGAATATGGGAACGCTCCCAGTTTGCTGGGAGTTTTCCAGGCATTTAGAAAGGGACGTGTTTGCTCCGAGGAGCTCGTAAAAACGATGCTTTTAACTCAAAACAGGGATCCCAAAGTGCTTGCAGCCGTTTGTGGGCTGTCGCACACGAGGGTGTCTTGAGGATGATGTGGCTGTGAATTTCCTGGGATCTGGGGTTTTGTGTGAGTTTGAAGAAAGCAGAGATGGGAGTTGGATGGCGGGTCCCTGCCATGACCCCAGGTTGCACGGGGTGAACTGCGTTTTTGGGCAAAATCCTTCTATTTGCTTCGTTTGCACAGATCATTGCCACCAAAAAAAGCCTTTTAGGGGAAAAAAAAGGAAAGTCTGTCACTGTAGGAAGCATCTCTGAGTCATTTTTTCCTTCTCTCCTGCCACCTCCTCTCCTGCCTGGGTGATGCCACTGGCTTTTCCCACCCCTTTTCCTGGCGGATGCCAGAACTGGGGAGGTGGGTGGGAGTGAGGGGGCTCTGATGGGGTCCCGACAACTGTGAAAAGCAGCTTTGGCGGCGGCTGGCAAGGAGGCCTGAGCCTGTTTATCCGAGCTCAACCCTTATATTCTCATGGCTTTTTGACTAGACATCCAGTCAACAGCCGAAGCCCGCAAACGGAAGAGGCTCTGGCATATTTATACTGCGTGCTGGCATCAACTCCTTAAAAAAAAAAATATATCCCGGATTACCTAAGATTTGTCCTTGAGGTCTGGTCACCCCATGTCATTGAAAAACCTAGTGGGATTCATTCATGAACTTCCAGCCCTCCATAAAGGTCTCTTCATTCATCGCCAAGGCAGTTTTCTTTTTTTTTTTTTTTCACTTTTTTTTTTTTTTTTTTTTTTTTTCCTTAAATGCTCTGGCAATTAACTAACTCTTTGTAATTGGCAACAGGCTGGTTGTTAAGTGGTCTTCACTAATGCAAGCATAAATGCCAAGCGCAAAAATCGCTTTTCCAACCACGGCTCCCTCCTGATAGGGATGCTTTTATGTTCAAATAGATAAAAACCTGTAGGAATTTCAACAGGGATTTAATGGCTGTTGCTCCAGAATTCCCTCAGCTGCTGTAAAACAAAACCCAGGAGGCTCTGAACATCACTGGCAGGCAGTCAGCGGGGAGGAGGGTGGTGGGTGGTCAGTGGAGATCCTCCGAATCCAGGACCATCCTCCTCATGGGTCTAGAAACATCCTTCCCCTGGATCCAGCGTCATCCTCCTGAAATTCCTCTGTCTCCCAGGCATCCTGCACCCCAGTTCCTCCACCTCCCAGGGGGGTGGTGGACACTCCACCTTTGGGGGTATTTCCTGCCCCTCCGGGTGCACCCTTGAGTGGGGGGCACCCTGTTTGGGTTAGTGGGGAGGAAACCCAAACTGCCCACCCTGTCCCCCCTCCTCTGTCCCCAGTTCCAGCAGGACATAAAGTTACCTGCAACAAAGCCTTGTGAGGCACCAAAAGAGGGAGGTGGGAGGACAAACTGGGGTGCACCTTGACGGATGTTGTTCCAGGGGCCACCCCACCCTGGTTTAACCTGGGAGTGAGGGTCCCTATTTTGGGGCATACACAGCCAGGCCCATTTTTAGTAGCTGCCTCCAGCGACTGGAGAAATATTTTCCTTGCTGGCATAGAAATGAGGAAATTAAAAGTGTGTGGTTGGGCTTTTTTTTTTTTTTTTTTTCTCTCTTTCTTTCTTTCTCTCTTAAAAGCACAGTGCAGGGCTTCAAACACAGCTCTGAGATGGGAGAAAAACGCCTGCGCTGAGGAAATGGGTTATTAATAGCAAAAAATAGAGAAAACAGGGAAACCAGCATGTTGCCATGGGGAGGGGGGAGTTGAGGAGCTGCAGGGAGGGCTTTGAGTTGCTGGGTCACCCACCATCCCCTCTCCCATGGTGCAGGGAATTATTTTGGTAGTGCTCACTAACTTGCATTCCCAGCTAGGGTTTTTTTTGATTTTGGTTTGTGGTTGGGTTTTTTGTACTTTTTTTTTTTTTTTTTTTTTGAAATACAATTATAGAGATGAATAGTTCCCAGGTCTTAACATGCCTACTGAGGCTGGAAGGAATTACCCGCTGAGCAGCGCCAGCCTGCTAGGGATCCTCCGTAAGGAAAAGGGGCTTTCTCACATTTTTTCCCTCCTCCTCCTCCCTTGCTTTTTCTTCCTACGTCATATCCTCGCTGCACGCACAGGGTAGCTATGGGGAAGGAAGTTGAAAGAAGGGCTAAGGGAATTTTATTCTGGATTTTTTTTTTAAAAGTTTTTTTTAAGTCATTTTTGTTAATAAGTGTGAGATTTTTTTTGATTCCGTCTGTCTCTTGGTGCTTCCCGTGAGTTAGGGCTTTCATCTGACATGTCCATTCTCTCCATCACCCAGGCTCTACATATGGGCAGGAAAAAGCCCCCTGAACTGGGGGCAAGTTCCCATCCTCTCTGGTCCCATGGGGTGAACTTCAGTGTGGTTTTCTTAACAGCACCTCATGTTTTTTCTGTGTCTGTGCACAGTAGATCATTTTTAATGGAAATTAATCCATCATTTGGTGGGTGAAAATAAGGGGGCTTAGAGTATTTGGTCTTGGTGGATGCTGCTGGCTGGAGCATCTCCCCTCCTGTTGGCACTGAAGGTGGCCCTGGTGTTGGTTTGGGTGAGGGTGACTGTGCCTCAGGGGCTGATGGTGTGTCTGAAGCCACCTTTAAAGGTGGACCTGGTGATTTAGGACTCATAAAATCCAGCTAAAATTAGGCACTGGAACAGCACAGGAGTCCCCCAAACCTGGAAATGTTCTTGATGACGTGACTTTTGGAAACAGAGGGTATGCTGTGGATGTTGGTGTGCACACGGAGAACATCGTGAAGACATGGGCAGGGCAAGGTCCTGCTGTTTCTGCATCACTTTTGGTTCATATTGACTCCACTGGTGCTAAATTTCTCCTTTTTTTTTTTTTTTTCCCCCTTTTCTCTGTTGTCCTGTAGATTCTCAAGTTCTTCAGGAGCCAGGGGATAGGTCACACTGGTGTGTGGTGGCATACTGGGAAGAGAAGACACGCGTGGGTCGGCTGTACTCTGTCCAAGAGCCCTCCCTGGATATCTTCTATGATCTACCTCAGGGGAATGGTTTCTGCCTCGGACAGCTCAACTCAGACAACAAAAGCCAACTGGTGCAGAAGGTCCGCAGCAAGATCGGCTACGGCATCCAGCTCACCAAGGAAGTGGACGGCGTGTGGGTGTACAACCGCAGCAGTTACCCCATCTTCATCAAGTCGGCCACACTGGACAACCCCGACTCCAGGACGTTGCTGGTTCACAAGGTGTTCCCGGGTTTTTCCATCAAGGCTTTTGACTACGAGAAGGCGTACAGCTTGCAGAGACCCAACGACCACGAGTTCATGCAGCAGCCGTGGACCGGATTTACCGTTCAGATCAGCTTTGTGAAAGGCTGGGGCCAGTGCTACACGAGACAGTTCATCAGCAGTTGCCCGTGCTGGTTGGAGGTTATTTTTAATAACCGATGACTCGAGACAGTGTGGACTCATGACATTTATACTACTTTGCTGCTACTATTTCCTTCTGAGTGCTTGCTTTTCATGCAAACTTTTTTTGGTTTTGTTTTGTTTTTGTTTTTTTTTGTTTGTTACCCCTCTCTCTTCGTTTTGAGAAATAGCTTATGGAAAGATATTTTTTTTTTTTTTTCCTCGCCTTGGGGGTATTTTGATAAATATATCTATTTTTTAGAAGTGTGAATGACCAATGACTCAGAAGGGTGAGAGAAGGGTGCAAGGGGGATATCTAGAATCATATATGATAATTATTTCACACATCTGAAGGGGATCGACGGATTTGAAAGCCACTTGCTCTATGTTACAACTCCTTCTCTTGGACAAATCAACAAGATACCTGTATTTTTTACGCACCACCTTCCCAACCCTGGTGACGGTGACACCGAGACCCCTTCCCCAGCGGTGCTAACCCTGCGTTGCCGCCGGAGGATGGTGCAAAACTTTCCCAACCGGGTCTTTTACCGACCCTTTTGAATTTTTATTGTAGTTTTCTCGTTGCTGGGTTCGTGTCTTGTCACTGTGTTCATCCTTCCACTGCTTTTTCCGTGTGTTTTACGGCCATGGATTTGACGCAAGGGGAGAAAGCAACAGCGGAGGAGCTTCGCCCATGGCCCGTGCTTGGTAATTTCAGCTGAGATGTGAAGCGACAGAAGCCTAAGCCTAAAAAAAAAAACCAACCATAAAACAAAACAAAAGAAAAATACAAATGGGGAAAACAAAAGACAAAGTGTTCACCGTAGTTGGTCTGTTGTAACCTGCTCAGATCAGGTTATCCAGGTACCACCTTATCTGGAAATGCAGTTGTGCTTTCATTTCTTCTTGAATTCATACACGAGTATGATACTTTTACACTGTTCTTAGCTCAATGAGCATGTTTAGACCTTAACATAAGCTATTTTTCTAAATATAAAGGTTTAATTGAACAAGAGAGCATTCTCATTGGATCTTTAGCATTGTAGTGCTTTCGAAATACACACACACACAGAAAAAAAGGACTCCTTAAAAAACCCTGAGATTTATTAAAGAAAAAAGTGTATTTTATGTTATATATAAATATATTATTACTTGTAAATATAAAGACTTTTATAAGCATCATTATTTATGTATTGTGCAATGTGTATAAACGAGAAAAAATAAGAAAGATGCACTTTGCTTTAATATAAATGCAAATAACAAATGCCAAATTAAAAAAAAAAAAGAAAAAAAAAAAGAACACGAGATTGGTGTTTTTTCTATGGGTGTTATCATCCAGCTGAATGTTGTTTTTTTTTTCTAAAGGAGTTTATGTTCTGTTAAAAAATAAAAATGTACACTTGATCCCAGGCTGTGCCAAGTGGCTTTTTTAGTGGTGGTGGGGGGAGGCAGGCAGGAGAGATGCTGCTCTAAGTGGGCACTACGTGGGGTCAGTGGTGAGAGTGCCCATCCCAGCCCTGTGTGGGACTTCTCTGGCGTGGGTGGCACCTGGGTGGGATCATCCTGAGCTTTGGGCTCTGTTGGGGTGATTTGGTACACGTGACTTTGGGCTCCCCAGGTTGAGTGCACCCCCTCAGCCCAAGACTGGAGGGGCTGGCTGCCTAAAATCTGCTGGGTTATTGTTCCTGTTTTTCATAACTTCAGCTTGGAAGAACCCCAGTGCTAAAGACACAGCTCCCTGTCCCGGAAGTATCTGGGGAGGCTGAGCTTCTCCTCTGGGCTGGGACACAGGTGTCTGTCACCAGGTGAGGAGGAATATTTGAGCAAAGGAGGAAGCCTTGGTGGGTCTTCCTCAATTATTTCCCGCCCCTTTTATCTCCCACCCCTCTGGAAGTAAAGGTTTTTATTCTTTTTGCCCCCTTCACTCTTCCTTTAGGCATTCACTGCCCCACATCCCCCTTGCACATGTGCTCTGCCAGGGAGAAGGTCCCTATGGCTGGTTCCTGCCTTTTGTCTAGAGGATCCTTGAGTGGAACTGCCAGAGTCCAGGAGCCTGGAGGATGTGGAGAAGTAAAAGGTTTGTATTCCTACCCTACCAAAATGACTGGACCCCAGGAGTGTGACTTCAGCGTCTCCTGTCCTTCAGGTGGTGAATGGAGACGTAGCAGCAGATCAGACTTAGCATCAGCTCAATGCTGTGCCTTCTGTTCAGTGCAGAGGTGCCCATCCCAGAGGGATTTACTGAGATACAGCATTTGGTTGTCTCTGAAAGGACTGTGCCTTCAGTTGGATTCACGTTACTTAACCCATGAACCAACTTCAGAATGGCTTTTGATGGTGTGCAGGGTTTGCATGGGAGTTTCCAGGCTCTGGCCTTGTCCTTCAGGTGGGAATCAGCATGGAAAAAGCTGAGGGCATGATGGATGCAGCCATTCTGTCTGGCTTGATGTGCACTGAGAGGCACCTGGTAGAACAAGTCTTGAAACAATGCTGTCGTCACTACAATTTGACTTCGAGCAGCAAACCTGAAATATCCAATAATCACTTGACACCTCTGTAGTCCAACAACCAAGCTGGCAGTGATGACATGTCAGGAACTCAGGAAACACTATCAGAGGTTGTGCAGGTGAAGGGTGAAGCAGACAACTTCGTTTCAAAGCCAACTGTTGACTCCTTATATGTGAGGTTTTGTAGCACTGATCTGTGTGAGCAGGTCTGCGTGGGCAGTAGTGACCTGGGGTTAGGTCATTCCAAATCTAGGAGCCACCACGCCAGTGACCACTCTGGGGTTATAGTCAGCTGTCTGAGAAGCACAGAAATCTGAAAAATCCCAGAATGGTTTGGGTTGGAAGGGAATTTAAAGATCGTCTCATTCCACTTCTCTGCCATGGTCAGGGACACCTTCCACTAGACCAGGAGGCTCTAAGCCTCATCCAACTTGTCCTTGGACACTTCCAGGGATGGGGCTGCCCCAGCTGGATGTCTTTTACCCTAGATTAACCAAAAGATGGGGAATATTTGGTTAACTTTTACTTTTCCCGCCTCCAAACTGTGCAACCATTCCGAAAACTGCTCGTGGGCCTTAAGCCTGAAGAGATGAGATGATAGTTTTGTCCCTGATGTGTGGCACCAAAGTAGCATCGAGCCACGTGGACACACCAGAGAATTCTGCACTGCAGAGATGTTTTGCAGATGTTTTCACCTTGTTGCATGAGGTATGTACTGTATCCTGGTGGTTAAAGCCCTGAAGTCAAATTGTAGCATAGATGGCTTTGTCCCTTGAACTGAGATCTGGTTGTTGTCCTCACTCATCGACCCATGAGATGTGACCAAATAATTTAACCTCCCTATCTTTCAGGATTTCCCATTGTGAGGTACAGAGACTACACAAAGTTGCTCATCCTGAAAGCTGAAAGCAGAGGATAAAAATACTGTACCCCTAAAGGAACTCTTCACAGCAGCTTTCCAAAATATATAGGGTCACAATAATGCTCAGAGGATGAAGCAACTCTGTCATGGAGGCAGAGATGACATGACTGGGAGAGCCAGGAGCGCTCAGCCTGGAGAAGGCTCCAGGGAGACATTAAAACCCATTCCACTGCCTAAAAAGGGACTCCAGGAGAGCTGAAGAGGGACTTTGGAGAAGGGCCTGGAGGGACAGAACAAGGGGGAATGGCTTAAAAGTATTAGAAAGAAATCCCTAGCTGTGAGGGTGGGGAGGCCCTGGCACAGGTTGCCCAGAGAAGCTGTGGCTGCCCCTGGATCCCTGGAAGTGTCCAAGGCCAGGTTGGACGAGGCTTGGAGCAACCTGGGGTGATGGAAGGTGTTCCTGCCCATGGCAGTGGGGGGAACAAGATGATCTTTAAACTATTCTATTGTTCTATGACAGTGCAAAGAGGAAAAATGATACAGCTAAGCCCAAAGTTTGGCTGTGGAGGTGCCCCCATGATGGTGTGGTGCAGTGGACTGTTTTTGCAGGGTGCAGTGAGAGTCTGGGACATCCTCCACACTCCTTATGTGACTGCCCCTGGCCGTGGCTATGACACATTGAACTGTCTGGACCTTCAGCTGGACATGCCTTTCTAGGTCAGATGTTAAATCATCTGGAGAATGACCTGAAAAGCCTCATGGATCACTTTATTTTATGAGATCTTTGCTTGCATTCATCTGTCAAAATAAACGGCCAGGCAATGCTGTTCGCAGTAAGAAAGCTGAGAAATAATCAGCAAAACTATGGCTTTTCAATGCTATGACAGCTTTAGCTGAAATGTTCCAGCCTTCACCTCCTGCTGAGCTAATTTTAGCCCTCATTCAATGCAACAAAAAAGAAAGAAAAGAAAGAAAAAAAAGAAAAAAGAATGCGACAGAAGGATGCTGAGCACCAGCTCATATGTGTCCCCATTCACCCAGAGCTCGCTCAGCTCTAGAACTGGTAGATTTGGCGTGAGTGGGAGGTAGTCTGGAGGTTAAAATAGAGACAGGAGGTTAAGCAAGGAAGAATTTCCCCTTGCCTGGGGTTTGCCAGTGCTGTAAATCCACCTTTAGGGCTCAGAAAAGCTGCGGCCACAGGAAGCAAAGTGCTGACCTGGAATAAACCTGGTCTGAGCAGAACCACAGCCCCGACCTGCCCTTGGGTGGAGGATCCACAGGCAAGAGCAGAGCCAGCTCCTTCCCAAGTGAAAATGCTGATGTGCAGCTGGCAGGTCGCTCCTGGACAGCAACATGATGTCCTTCTTGCTTCATGCCCTCAGCACCTAAATTCAGGCCCTCCCCATCTCCATGAATATCTTCCAGCAGAACAGTGGAGGCCCTGGGACCTCACCTATCCCCCTGCTCTGTACAGCTTAGCTGTGGATTCCACTCTTCCCTCCTTGGAAATCACCTTAGGGAAATCTCATCCACTTAAGAGGCTCAGACATCAGGTGGTTGAGACAGTCTGAAGTCCAGATTTTCCAGTGGACGGCAGGACATGTCTCCCTCCTCTCTTCCTCAGAAAAGGATTTCTCTGGAAATTTGGGGTGTCTGACATCAGTCTGTCCCAGTTAACTGTGCCCTTGCTTTGGACCACGGTTCCAGGATCATCAGTGCTAAATCTCCTAATGACATACTGCAACAAAGTAAATTACAGCACTGTTGGGCCCTTTTTTCCCAATGTTGCCAAGCAGTAATTGAGGAGTGCAATAAAGAGGGGTCAAACGGTGCAATTATTGTGCTAAATCATACGTAAAATATTGTCAAAATGTCGAATGTTGACGTACTGCAAGGGAAGGTGGTAAAATTCCACCCTTTTGAGATCATGGTTTTTCACATAGGAAAACCATTTTCAAGTGGTGCAGAGCCATGACCCCAGTCTCAGGCAATGCTCAACATCTGACTCACTCCCCAGACTCTCCAAGGTATGTGTGGGCTCTTGTCTTGCAGGTTGTCTTCCAGCCCTTGAGGTGAATGGGTCCTTCTGCTCATGTCCCTGGTCTGAAAGGCCTTCTGGAGGCAAAATGTTGAAAAATTGTCTTAGGAGGAGTTAGTAAAACCCACCCATACATGGAAAAAGCACTTCCTTTGTGTTGTCTACGTGCATCTTGAAATTCATCCTGTGTTGCTGGGCACACAGTGGAGACATATCAAGGTGGGGACAAATGTCTGGTGGTTTAAGCGAGGAGATGAAAATGGGCTGGGACAGCTAATTGGGAAAAATATTCACGGCAATAAGTGACGGATGGAGCTTCTCCCATGCCATACAGTATCATGGACTCACATGGTGAGTCCTGGGCTTTTTTGGGACAGGCATTACAAAGGCCTTGTCCAAAGCAGCCTGTGAGCAGGCAGCAATGAGAAGGGACGTGCTGGGGGTGCCAGCAAGGCCAGGATTGGAGCTGAACACCCACGGTTGAACACCCAGTGCTGTTTGGAGAGATCCATCCCCTGTGACCCCACTGTGTCACCAGGCTTTGGCAGGAGGAGTCCCTGCTCAGCCTTGCACAGAGGAGCCAGAGGAACATCCCCAGACTCTCCAGCAAGTCACTATACAAATTTTTGTGTGGCTTCAAGATGAAATGAAACAAAAAACGAAACACTTGAGAGGCCTGGGAGGTTCTTGTGGTTAACAGGGAAGTCACTGCTGTGTAATGTTTACCAGCCAAGGTCCCTGTCATCAGCTTCGGTGGAAAAGCCCAGGATGTTTCCCCTTCGTCATGCTACTGGATCACCCTTATAAACTGCCAAATTGCTCCTGATGATGAATCTGACCATCCTCTTGGGTTTTTTTAGACACT